AGGTTGATATGTGTTGGTGCAAATGTAGAATAAATGATGAAAGGTAGAAATATTCTATTAAGAATGACGGCAGAAGAAACAGGATATAAAGTTACAATGATTGTCACCCTATTTATAAGCTAAAACTAGGGTTACTAGAATAACATAAAATACTAAAATACCCTCTAACAAACTTAGGGGCTAAGAAAATAGTACAACTAAATAAATATGAATTACTATTAATATTCTAATACCATCCCTTAATTCATATTCCATCAAAACTTGTAACACCAATTCCATCCCTTAGTCTGAGAAATTGATCAGTCTTGATAGCTTTCGTCAGAACATCTGCCAACTGCTTCTGAGTGCTGCAGTGTACAACTTCTAACACTCCACTCTGAACTTGATGTCTCAGAAAATGATACCTGGTCTCAATATGCTTGCTTCTCCCATGCAACACTGGGTTTCTGGCAAGATTGATTGCAGACTTATTGTCAATCATCAACTTCAGAGGTTTGTCTACTTTAATCTTCAGATCCTGCAACAGATTCAGAATCCACACAGCTTGGCATGCAGTAACAGCACCTGCAATGTATTCAGCTTCACAGGTTGACAACGCCACAACAGGTTGCTTCTTGGAACACCAAGAAATGGAACCTCCCAGAAATTTGAACAAGTACCCAGATGTACTTCTTCTGTCAACTCTGTCTCCACACGAATCAGAGTCTGAATAACTCAGAAGTTCTGACTCATTATTTCCTTCAGAGGGAAATAACACTCCATACTTCAGAGTTCCTTTGATATACCTCAGAATCCTGATAGCAGCTTGGTAATGGGACCACTTAGGTTTACTCATGAACCTACTAACCATCCCAACTGAGTAGCAAATATCAGGTCTGGTATTGCACAGATACCTCAGAAAACCAACCAACTGTTTGAAGGTTGTAGCATCCACATCCTTTCCTTCAGAGTCTGAATCTAGTTTCTGATTTGTATCAGAAGGTGTGACAGCCATCTTACAATTCTTCAGATCAAATCTCTTTAGAAGTTCTAATTCATACTTGAGCTGATGCAAAATGATACCTTTCTCAGAATATCTGAACTCCATCCCTAGAAAGTATGTCATTTTGCCTAGATCAGTCATTTCAAATTCATTCATTAGAACCTTCTTGAACTTGGCTATCTCCTGTTCAGAACTTCCAGTCAGCAGTATATCATCGACATATAAACATACCAGAGTCATATTGCCTTCAGGAGTATGCTGAACATAGACACCGTACTCCATCTCACATTTCTGAAAGCCTTGCTTCTTGAAAAATGAATCAATCTTCTGATTCCAAGCTCTGGGCGCTTGTTTCAATCCATATAGAGCTTTGTATAATCTGTACACCATCCCTTCCTGATTCTTTTTCACAAATCCAGGAGGTTGTGACACGTAAACTTCTTCTTCTAATGGACCATTCAGAAATGCAGATTTTACATCTAAATGCATCAGAGGCCAATTCCTGTTAGCAGCTATTGCAATCACCATTCTGATTGTTTCATGTCTTGCTACAGGTGCAAACACTTCAGAATAATCCAGCCCAGGTTTCTGTAGAAATCCTCTGTCTACAAACCTTGCTTTATGTTTGCCAATTGAACCATTTGGCTTTAACTTCTGCTTGAAAACCCATCTAACGCTGATGGCTTTCTTGTCTTTTGGAAGTTCTGTCAGCTTCCAAGTCTTGTTTCTCTCTATAGCATCAAGTTCTTCTTTCATGGCCTTCAGCCAGAGCTTCTGCTTAAGAGCCTCCTCTGTACTTATAGGTTCAGAGTCTACTAACATGGCACACTGAATAACTTCTCCTTCAGAGTCTACTTCAGTGTCTTGCAGCATGTCAAATTCTGCAAATCTTCTAGGAACGCTTCTGATTCTCTGTGGTCTCTGAACTTGTTCAGAGTCTTGAGCTTCAGATTTTCCAGCTTCAGATGGTTGACTTCCTCTAGAGCTTTGACCATCTTCAAGATCTGGCATATTTTCAGAGTCTTGGCCATCTTCAGAGTCTGAATTTCCACCAGAATCTGGATTACCATCAGAGTCTGGATCATCAGAGTCACCTTCATCTTCTGAGTCTTCTCCAGAGTCAGAATCACTATCAGAGTCAGAATCAACTTCAGAGTTTACTTCAACTTCAGAAGTTCTTAACTCTGACCTTTCTTCAGAAGTTCTAACATCAGAATCAGATTGAGACTTATCCCAATTCCAAACTTCTAATTCCTTCACAATCACATCTCTGCTGAATTCAATTTTATTGGTTTATGGACAATAGAGCTTGTATGCACCTGTACTGTGGTACCCTATCAGAATCATCACTTTGCTTATATCATCCAGCTTCTGTCTTCTGGCTTCTGGAACATGTTTATAGAAAACAGAACCAAACACCTTCAGATGACTAACACTTTGCTTGCCTCCAGTCCACTTCTGCATAGGAACTATTTCCTTCAACTTCTTCGTAGGACATCTGTTGAGTACATACGTTGCAGTGGCAACAGCTTCTCCCCAGAGCTTCTGAGGAAGCTTCTTCTCCTTTAGCATGCTTCTCACCATATCAAGCAAAGTACAGTTTCTTCTTTCAGCAAGACCATTGTGTTGAGGGGTATTAGGAGCAGTAACCTCATGCTCAATTCCATTCTCCTCACAGAACTTCTGGAACTCTTTGGAGTTATACTCACCTCCACCATCAGTTCTAAGAATCTTCAGCTTCTGACCACTCTGATTCTCAGCCTTCATTCTGAACTTCTTGAATTCATCAAACACCTCATGTTTAAATTTAATAAGGGATACCCATGTCATTCTTGTGAATTCATCAACAAACAACACAAAGTACTTATTCCCTTCAATTGATGCTACTGGGAATGGACCACACACATCAGAATGTACAACTCCCAAGGCATGTTTTGCTCTTGGAGCAACTTCTGACGCAAATGGCAAACGTGGTTGTTTTCCTTCCATGCAAACTTTGCATGACTTCTCAGGCTTCTTAATTGCAGGAATTCCATGTACCAGCTTCTTTGAATTCAGATGTTTTAGGCTTCTGAAATTCAAATGACCAAATCTTCTGTGCCACAGCTCACTCTCCTTCTCAGCACATGTTGCACTAAGACATTCTGAGTCTGCAGTTCTGACATTCACCTTGAATGTTCTATTCCTTCCCTATTCTGACTCCATAATCAACTTCTGATTGCAGTCATACAGCTTCAGAAGATTATCCTTCATGGTAACTGAAAAACCTTTCTCAATTAATTGTCCCACACTCATCAGATTGCTTCTGATGCCAGGTACATACCACACGTTCTGAATCAATGCTGTTTTCCCATTGTTCAGAATCACTCTGACATTTCCCATACCTTCTGCATTAAGATATTTGTCATCAGCACATCTGATCTTTGTTCTCTTTTCAGAGTCAAAGTCAACCAGCCATTTCTTGTTTCCAGTAAGATGATTTGAACAGCCAGTGTCCATATACCACCAGTCTATCAGATCCATATTATCAGATTCAGAAGCCATCAATAGCACAGATTCGTTATCAGAACTTCTGGCTATATTTGCTTCTGCTGATTTTCTCTCCTTGTTTGACCAACAATCTCTAGCAAAGTGACCAAACTTCTTACAATAGTAACATTGGATCTTCTTCTTGTCATACTTCTCTTTTCCCTTCTGAGCATTCTTTTGTCTATCAGAGGTTGAGCTTTCTGACTTCTGACCACCATCAGATCTTCTCCTGGCTTCTGACTGCTTCTGATACCTCCTATCAGAAGTTGCTTTCAGAGCCTGCTGCTCTACTTCCTTTTCAGAAGTTCTCTTAGTCAAACGCAACTCTTGCGCTTCTAGACTGCTCTGCAGCTCTTCAATTCTCATGGTGCTCAGATCTTTGGAATGTTCTATTGCTACCACAATGTAATCAAATTGAGGAGTAAGGGATCTCAATACTTTCTCCATTATTGTTTCTTCTGAAAGAGTTTCTCCACACGCCTTCATCTCATTAGTGATCAGAATCATTCTGGAGATGTATTCAGAGACTTTCTCATTATTCTTCATGTTGAGATTCTCATATTGCTTTCTCAAGGACTGAAGCTTCACCTTCTTCACTGATGCGTCACCACCATAACATCTCACCAGTGTGTCCCACGCAGCCTTTGCTGTTGTTGAATCTGCAATCTTCTCAAACACATTTACATCCACACATTGATGAATAAAGAATAATGCTTTCTGATCCTTCTTCCTTACTTCCTTCTGCGCGTTTTTCTGTTCATCCGTTGCATCTGCTGCTACAGGAACATAACCATCAGTGACAAGATCTAGAACATCTTGAGCACCAAATAGTACACGCATTTGGATCATCCAACGATTCCAGTTTTTACCATCAAATACTGGAAGTTTGGTGTTCATGTTGCCGTTTCCGTTCATCTTCTACCTTGCACAATACACTCAGATTTCTCACACAGTTTTTCCCAACCCACAGAATAAAATTCTGATCAGATTTTGTTCAAGATTCAACACGAATCTAAGAATCAACATCAAACACACAAGACCTCACGTTCACTCGTGTTTCCCGTGTTTCCCAATGAATCTGAACCGGAGCTCTAGATACCAATTGTTGGTGCAAAGGTAGAATAAATGATGAAAGGTAGAAATATTCTATTAAGAATGACGGCAGAAGAAACAGGATTAAAAGTTACAATGATTGTCACCCTATTTATAAGCTAAAACTAGGGTTACTAGAATAAGATAAAATACTAAAATACCCTCTAACAAACTTAGGGGCTAAGAAAATAGTACAACTAAATAAATATGAATTACTATTAAAGTTACAAAAAAAATAATTAATGCCCATGTTTATAAAAGCAAAAAAAAAAAACCAAACAAAAAGGATATATTAAAGAACGTGGGCTTAAAAACTTTGCACGTCTAAACAAAATATGAGAGAAATGGACATGATACGTGGATAGGATCCGTTTTACCACCCGTAATTTGCATGTTGTTAACATCCGAAAATGAAGATAAAGACAATGCCTATAAACTTATTAGAAATTACAAACCTGCTTCCAGTAAACCAAAGATTTCTAGTCGCTTGAGCACAAAGAGCTTGTAATTGTGTGAGAAGGTGAAATATTTGTTTACCCTCTTTATAATTTGTACCAAACTCAGTTCTTGAAATGATATCTGCAGTGAGTTTTGTAAAATATTCTCCAATTTCAATCTCTTTTTTGTCACACTCTAATGTTTCATTTTGAAGTGACTCAAGCATCTCTTTAGTGCATTCCATTATGTGTACACCATAACTCTAAATTTATGAGAAAGTTAGTGGAAATTAACTAATTGTAACTGCGATCACAATGGCAATTTGCAAATAGTTTGTTTAATGCTAAGATTTATTGCAGTTTGAATACTTTGAATTTAAAGAGTCAGTACATCAATGACAAATTGACTTATTTGGATTTTAAAATCAGCATATATATTATAAAGTTTATAATTTGAATCCAATAGTTATCGATATAAGTGAATCTATACGTGAATGTAAGGTTGATATGTAGTGCAGCGAATTGATTTTTTCGCAAATTTTTAATACCTTGAGTTTTTCTCTCATGAATGCTGGTGAAACTAAGTGACGTTGGTGATACCAATCGTCACCATTTGCCATCAACAAACCTTTTTCAATAAAATTCTTAGATCCTTGTTGTTGCTGCCATGATTTCCCAGATATTGTACTATATTTCGAAAGAAATTCCTTGATCAATTCAGTTTCTATTAGACACAATCTTGGTTCTATTCCATTCCAATAGAAGAATCTTTTTCCTGCAAAATAATATAATTTTAAAACCATTATATCAACAAATCTAAAAGCAGAGTTACATACACAAAAATCAGACACCATACTGACCCCTGACATATTACCACCGGTAATAATGTTAAAAAATAAATTAATTAAACATAATCCCGTCTCTTTTTTCCAGAGTATTTATACTACAGATAAAAAATACATAAAATCAGGAATTCCAATGTATTTATTCATTTTTCATACCATATTGCTTGGACCAAGCAACATAATGAGGCAAAAGACGACCAACAACATCATGGTTGATTGATTTCATGTCTTGAGAAGTTGCTTCAGAAACAAAAGATGAGATGTCTTTAAGGTTGCCTGAAAGAAACCTAGGTTTAGGACAAAACACACCTTGCTTCTCCATAATCTTCTTAATTCTCATTGGAATAAGACAATAATATGAAATTGCATCATAAAAAACTTTAATCATTAGTGTCACAAAAATAACCAAAAGGGTTGTGAGAATCATCATTTTTTTAGTGAAATAGTGATGATTCAATAGGTTACGAATATGAACATATTAATTTGATATAAGTTATGGAAGAATGAATATTTGATGCTTGAGTGTTTTTTTTGTAAACAAGTCGAACTATTTATAAATAATGAGATACTAAATGTCTAAAAATACAACATAACACCAAATAAACAGCACAATAATTGGGGAAATAACGAGCCAACAGAAAAGAAAACAAAAAAAAAATCCACAAAGAAAGGAGAAAATCTAAATAAATAAACCAAACAAAACAGAAAAAATCAAAACGAGTAAATCAAATCAAAGTTGGAGCCAAAAGAAGAAGACAGAAAGCTAAATCAAATTCAATGACAATTTAATCACTAATATTATAATAAATTTATAAAAAAATATGATGATATTTGTTTATTTGTTAATCGTAGGGGTTGGAAGAGATTATAAAAATGATTTTCAATATTCTTTGTTAATCATGGTTGCATTTTTTTACAAGACCTGATTGCAATTATCTTAAACTAGTAAACACTCGTGCTATCGCACAAAATTGTTGTAAATAATATTGTTATATAAATGTTAGCAAAATATGAAATAAATAATACATTTGATTAATTAAAAAATATAATATAAAAATTAATTAGTATTGTTAAAATAAGTCTTAATGAGCAACTACTGTTGAAAAGACGATTTCTGACGACTCCTAAAATTGCTCTAATCATCATGCCTCCTTTCAAAATTCCATGGTCTTGCTTGGATTCTCCAACTTTTGTTGAACCAAAGCTCACTAGGGCTCAAGTTAAACCTCCAGAAACATCAAAGACCACAAAAACCTTCATTGAAGTGCTCTCAAACTTCTATGACATTCCCTTATCTCAGTTACCTCAACCATGCCTCAAGGGTGACAGGTTAGCCATTGATATACCAAAAGACGAATACATTGTAGGTGTTGAAGCCTGGAAACATAACCACCATGGGCACATCATCTGGCCTATAGGTATGTCTCTATTAATTATTGCCTCTATAAAGACCAAATTAGGCCTCTATTGGAAAGATTTATCCAAGTGGGGGATCATTTCGTTGAGGAAGGGATTCTATGAGTTCTCCTTCTCGTCTCTTGAAGATGTGAGGAGGGTTAGATCCTCCCCATCTTGGAATCTTGACCCGAGCTACCTCAAGCTTTTTTCTTGGACTGGGGACTTTAACCCTAACTTGTAGAGGAATATGTTTGCTTAGGTTTGGGTTTGTCTTTATGGCCTCTCGCACGAGTATTGGAGGTCGCAACTTCTATTCTCTATTGCGAGTAGTGTTGGTACTCTAATATGCACTGATGCCACAGCTGTAAAACCTATGTTTTATCGAACATTCAGACACTATGTTAGAGTGTTAGTTAAAATTGATCTCATGCAAACCATAAGACACAAAGTGTTAGTTGAAAGAAAGAACTTTGATTTTTTTAGCTAGACTATGAGAGTTTACCAGCTTTTTACACTCACTGTATGATGGTTGGTCATGATAATAAGTCCTGCTACAAGCTGAATACAAAAATGGAAGAAAAGAAACCTTAGAAAAGAACACTAAAAAAAGACCAACTAAAGAACTTTGTCCCTATTAATGATGGAAGGCCTGAGAAAAGTCATGTACAAGATATAGTTAAGGATCCCAATCCTTTGAACTCTGTTGGATTAGGAAAAGAACAAGAGCAACCGTGGGACATAAGTAACACGACTATACAAGATCCTATTGTGGGTACTAACACAAGGTTTCAGGGGATTTTTTTCCAAGCAGAATCCCATTGATGAGGGAAATGATGGCAGTTTTCAGGAAAGTGAGTTTGTTGATTCAACTCAATTTAATCCTGAGGATAACAAGAGTATTAAGGGCTCTTGATGTCCTAACATCTGATAGGCACAAAGTGAATATAGAACTCTTAAAGTAATCCTGGGGAAACTTAGAAGACATTGAAGTAAGAAAAGACTCCATTGTTTCCATCTCTCCCAAGTTCTCTAAGATAACTTCCAAATGGAGAGCTTTTTCTGCTACTACACACAAATCTAAATATAAAACCATCTCCAAGATTGGTAACTCTAAGCATTTTAGATGAAGTTCATATTCTGGAACATTAGGGGTTTAGCTAATCAACCCTCAAAAATGGCTCTAACAAACATTATTTCTTCTAACAAACCTGACATTGTTATTGTTGTTGAACTTTGGATGTTCTTTCAAGATTTTCCAAATAGTTGGCTTGAGAGAATATGCCTCAAACTGTTTTCCCTAAATGACAGGGATAGTTTGAACCTCAATATCTAGATTTTTTGTTCTTATAATTTATCCTCTTCTTTAATTCCTTCTAATGACCAATTAATTACTTTTTCTGTTCACAATGGCCACTCTATGTTTGGTTTTGCTGCTGTTTATGCTTCTACTGACTATGGAGTTAGGAGAAGCTTATGGTCTAAGCTTTCTGATATTACTGGGACGTTTGGCATCCCATGGTGCTATATTAGTAAATTTAATGTAATCTTAGGTACTCATGAGTACAAGGGTAACCATTATCCTTCCAAGAAGCTTATGGTAGATTTCCATGAGTGGAATTCTTCCAATGATTTACATCACATTCCCACTAGAGGTGCTTGGTTCACCTGTCATAGTGGTAGATAGGAAGGGCTCATAATGAGAAGTGACTTGATAGGGTTATTTGTAATCAGGTTGTAATACCCCATATTTCGCTTAAATGCTCAACTGGGTGTCAGTTGGATTTATTGAATCTCTTAAGTGCTCTAAGTGTCATTAGTTGGGACCAATAGAGTAACTAGTAGACTCTGAAGAGATCAGTTATTGATATAAGAGACATACTAATATTAATAAGTATAAGAGATGATATTTTGGTAACTCTAATATTTGGTCAATTGGTGTTAGATGAAAAAATATCAAAGGAAGATATTTATATCATTAACTATTATATATGTGTGTGTGTGGTCGAGTGTACGTGCGTATATATATATATATATATATATATATATATATATATATATATATATATATATATATATATATATATATATATATATATATATATATATATATATATATATATATATATATATATATATATATATATATTCTCATGAGATGGAAAATCCAAACAACTAGCCCGACACGAGATTTCTAAATAAGTGATTGTCTCATAATGAACGAGGAATATTCGTCTTTCTGCTAAGCAGTATGTATTGAACTCATAATTCATTAGATCCTTTTTATGAATGTCAATTAAATATCGTAAGTAAATTATTCCTGGTTGTTCAATCATTTGATAACCAGAGTTATTCTTTGGCGCATGTGTGTGTGTGTGTGTGTCTCTCTCTCTCTCTCTCTCTCTCTCTCTCTATATATATATATATATATATATATATATATATATATATATATATATATATATATATATATATATATATATATATATATATATATATATATATATATATATATATATATATATATATATATATATATATATATATATATATATATATATATATATATATATATATATATATATATATATATATATATATGGTGGAAAAGAATATAAAGAAAAGAAGAAGAATGGAAATAAAAGTTGGTAAGGAGAAAGAAGAGAAATGAGGAGAAAGGAAAAGGAGAAGAAGACCTAGAGGTGGAAGAAGAAGAATTTTTCATCATTCATCATCTCATCTTCATCAATCCTTTTCATCTTTATCTCGTTTTAGAGGTGAGTTCCATTAGTTAATTTAGTATTAGGAGAAAAACATGACAATATACTGGGTTAAGATTTGTGTGAAAATATGTTAAATGGTAGTTGGAATGTTGTATAATATAAATTTCATGCACTACCATGTTATACCTTGTCTATTGGATGTTTAGATGTGTGTTGTGATTATTGGGTGTTAAAATTTTGGAGTTTTTGGCCATGGATGACTTCTTTTCATGTTGCTGGAAATCTAGAAAATGTACGGGTCGCACAGCGAGCTTCAGCGAGCTTCCAATGAGCTTCTCAATCTGCTATGCTCGCACTGTGATGTTCCAGCGAAGCAAAGGCGAGACCTCGCCTAGAGCTCGCACAATGACCACTGAGTATTTTTGCCACTGCCTCAAATTTTCCTGCCTCGCCCAGAGCTCGTACATCGAACTCAAGGTGAAGGGGCCATGCCTGGCCCTCACACTATGAACCTTGCAGTGTATTTCATGTTTCTGTTTGATTCTTATTTGGTTGTTTCATATGTATGTTTATGGTTACTATGGATGGTTTCACATGATTATTGAGGATTGTTATGCATGTTTGAAGGTTCGATGAATTGGTTTTGATGTTTCATATGTATGCTCATGTTTTTCTAAGCTCTAAACTATCAAAAATGAAGGTTTGGTGAATTGGGAACAAATACCCCAAAACATAACCTTAAAAAAATGTATTTTTACCCCTTTTAATGTGTTTCTGCCCAGACAAATTCACCCGACGAAGCAATGGTTTTACCGGCAAGCTAAGGCGGCTTTTTCTGCAGCTTCTGGAATTTCTGGCTCGCCCGGCGAGCTCGAGGCAAGATCTGACAGTAGAAAAATTCAGCATTTTATTTTCTTCATAACTTTTGAACTGTAACTCCGTTTGAGGCCCAGTCGGAAGCATCGAAAAGCTTATTCAATGCTCTATCTAAAAATGACTAAATATCAATGCTTGAATACCTACAAAAATGAGATAAAAACAATTAAACTCGATGATATTTACACAAAAATACTAGTATACACTAAATATACACTTTTACAAACAAAGTGGGGTTTTATTCTAAGAATTCAATACAAATGAATCGATAAGTGTCGCAAAACTACTACTAAAAAACATGACATTTTGGCACTTATCAAACTCTTCCCGAATTAAAATATAATTTATCCTCAAACGAAGTCAAACAACTTAAAGAAACAAAAGACGATAATCCAAGAATCATGAGTCAACAGGTTTTTTAAAACATAAAACAAATGTTTGGTTCAAATAAAAAACGTACAAGCAAAGTAAAAACCTACCACCATCCTACAATGACAACATGAAAATGAAATAAATCCTAAATACAAATATCATACTAAACAATCTAAAATAACACAATTTAAATCATGAATCACACCAAGCAAAAATTCATCCAGGGATGAAAAACACACAAAGGTGAGGATTTGACACTCATCCAACAATCTTGCAAACAAAAGAATAAATTATGCATTCATCCAAAAAATTTACATTTAGCATACAAAGGCATAATCACAAGGTCTTTTCAAGATAGTAATGTGGTTTGGTTAACAAATAAGGGGTAATTTCTAAAATTAATCGAAACAAAAACTTGCCTAAACATAAGGGAGTGACTAACTCACAAAAGTTCAAACATAAAATTTGAATAAAACTTCTTCTTTCATCCCAAGTGTTACACCAAACACACCTTAATTATTAGCACAATTATTTGATAATCTTTTTGTTTTTTTTTTCAAAATTTTTCTCTTTTTTTTTCTTTTTCTTTTTAACAACCGCATAGCAACCAACAACATAAGTGAGCAAACATTGCTCTCCCCAACTTGAATTCAACCAATATCAATGTGTGAATACTTCCTAATTTCTAAGGCAAAGTAAAAATTCAAACAACCACACATGGTTGAGGGTTCAAGAAAAGAAATAATAAACATCCATTCAAAAAGGTGAACTAATACTCATAGACAAGTATCAAGTTCAAAAATAACACGGACATTGACAAAAAGGCTCAAAAGGGGTTAACAAAAGTTCACGCACTCACAAGGTGAATTGACTATTTGATTAGGTAGTTGTGATCAATAATCAAACAAAATTCCTTGATCATTTTCATGCTTTCATACAATCAAAACAAACAAAATATTAAACATAATGAAATCCAGTTAAAACAAGAATTATGGCCTCCAACATATATGAACAATGGAAGACTTCCTCACATTTGGGGGTAAAAAGGGAACTAAAGTGATTCGATCAAAAAAATAAGTAATGTAAAAGAATGAATGGCATGAAATTTGTACGAATGAAAAGTTTCCTAAACATCTTATGCTATAGAAAGCGATAAACGAGTACCTGGCGTGTACCAACTTCAGAACAATATCATTACCATACATCTGCAAGTTGAAATAGTCAACTTAGAAAATCACCTCAAACTTCCTCAAGATACTCAAAACAAGCTCTT